ATATTCCCTCCAGTCGACACAACTCGCGTCGTGCTGGGCAGAGACGGGGGTTACATCAACGCCAACTTCATCAACATGGCGGTGAAGGACGAGAGCTTCCTGTACATCGCCTGCCAGGGGCCCCTGCCCACCACTCTGGGCGACTTCTGGCAAATGGTGTGGGAGCAGAAGTCCAACGTGATCGCCATGATGACGCAGGAGGTGGAGGGCGGCAAAGTGAAGTGTCAGCGCTACTGGCCGGACACCCCCAGGACGGCGGAGATGGTGGACGACCGGCTGCAGATAACGCTGATCAAAGACCAACACCTGGACAACTTTGTCATCCGAGTCATCGAGGTCAAAGACGTCCAGGTGAGTACAAGTACTAAATAAAAAAATTGACCTAAGTAAAAGTAGAAGTGTTCTTTCAACACCATACTTAAGTGGAAGTACGGAAGTACTCAATTTTTTTTTTACTTAAGTATTGCAAGTAGAAGTATTTCAAAAATTGCTACTCAAGTTTTGAAAGTACAAGTATAAGTAAAAGTACAAGTACTGTGTATATTAAAAAAAGGCAGTTATAAGTGTGATAGATATTGATTATATAATTTCAAACGTGGGAAAGATCATACAGGTGTTTACAAAAAACAGACAACTACATCTGCATTAGCATTCAACAGCACTTTATCTATTATTATTTATTATTCCAGTGTCAGAATCCTGAGCTGAGCCTTTATGCTATCATGTAGCATACAGCTAAAGCTGGCTAGGTTAACTTTAGCTAATGTTAGCGGCTACGTCCTGAGAACTGAACTAGCGCTTATTTACTAGCTTATGTCATTGTTTTTTTTTAATTACCTTGATATGCTTCTTCAGATTAAAAAAACAAATACTCCAATAAAGTACAGATACTGCATTTTGGTACTTAACCCTTTAAAGCCCGATCCAAGAATAAAACAAAACAGAAAATTCCTCTTTTTTTTGTTTGAATTCCTTATTCAAACAATTCCTTATTCCTTATATGCGATAAATAAAGATTATTTTTCGTGTAGTCTTCTACCCCCTGTTATCAGGTGTATCTGATTGTGTCCAATAGGATTTTGAGCAAATTTTTTACCATTAAATTAAGCAAAAGGTGTCAGACGCAAAGCATTTCAGAAACCGTACGTATCAAATATGATAGATTTGGCATTATATGGTTAAGTACAGTACTTAAGTAGTTCTACTTTGTCTCTCTGTCTCAGACTAACGAGGTCCAGAGCGTGACCCATCTGAACTACACCGGCTGGCCGGACCACGGGACGCCCTCCCAGCCCGAGCAGCTGCTCACCTTCATCTCCTACATGCGGCACGTGCACCGCTCGGGCCCCGTGGTGACCCACTGCAGCGCGGGCATCGGCCGCTCGGGGACCCTCATCTGCATCGACGTGGTCCTGGGCCTCATCAGCAAGGACGCCGACGTGAGTACGCCAGCTCCGGACGGCTTTTCCTGCACAATAACCGCGTAATGGCATGGGGTGGACCAGGCCAATGAATTGAACCTACGACACACTGGCCCCAGCAGATGAGCTCAGCTCTTTTAAAACCCTTTTAACTCATTGACTGCCAGCCATTTTCAGAACAGAGAGTCCCTCACTGCCAGAGTTTTTTCGAGCATTTTGACTGATTTTTCAAGAGCCACAGAATAGTTTGTGCTATGACTATGTAAACACCGAACACACCAAAAGAAAGAGTAGACTCTCTTCTTTCATCAGGAAAAAAGTTTTTGTTTCTACCTTATTCCGTTCTTCCTCGACTTGCGTCTCACCGGCGACATGTTCTCTCATAGCGAACCATTGCGTTTGTTTTTATTTGCCTACAGTCTATGCTCATCTCCCATCAAAAGTGGCACAGCTACCTAGAGGGTAAATGTGTTAGTACATACTCTGTCTGGAAGCCGATATGTACCGAAAAACTTTAGCAGATCGTTCCCCAAGCCACTCGCGTTGAAAAACATAAAAGATGTCTATAGACGTCTTGGGCAGCGAATGAGTTAAAGACCCACTTTTACTCTCAGGCCTTTGAGTGAGACTTAGACTTTATTTTAGTTGTCTTAATTTCCCTCTCTCACTCTACTTTTATCCCTCTCTTATTTGTTTTTAATCTTTGAGTTTGTCTTGTGTGGAGGTGATAATTGTGTTTTATGATTCGCTCAAATGGCCTGTACAGCGCTTTGATTTTAGCTTTGGCTGACTGAAAGCGCTTTATAAATAAAGTTGAGTTGAGTTGAGATGAGCTCCTTCAGCAGAAGACTCCTCTCACCCAGATGCACCACAGAGCGCCACCGGAAATCCTTCCTGCTTGTGCTCATCAATCTGTACAACGCCTCCCTCTGAGAGTCAAACTAATCATTGACATTATCACCACCACTTATTTGACCTATATATATACAGTGGGGGAAATAAGTATTTGACCCCGTGCTGATTTTGCAGGTTTTCCCACTTACAAAGAATGCAACGATCTATAACTTTAATCATATGTACATTCTAACAGTGAAAGACAGAATCCCAAAGAAAATTCCAGAAAATCACATCAAATGAATTTGTAAAAATTGATAACCATCTGATGAGGAAAAATAAGTATTCTTTGTAAGTGGGCAAACCTGCAAAATCAGCAAGGGGTCAAATACTTATTTCCCCCACTGTACATATAGTTATTCATGTATGTATCTATCTATATTATACAAGGAATTTTGTATATATATATATATGTACAGACATGTATATATTTATATGCCGTTGTTTTATTTATGTAGCCAGTAACAACAATAATTTCCCTCTGGGATTATTAAAGTATTTCTGATTCTGATTCTAATAACACGCGTTTTCCTCAGTTTGACATTTCAGATGTGGTGAGGAACATGAGGCTCCAGCGCCAGGGGATGGTCCAGACCGAGGTAATCTGGTTGTTGTTTTTTTCTCAAATGTCTGGGGAATACCTCTGTTACTACTTCTCACTCTTTTTCCCTTCTGTCTGCTTTTAGGATCAGTATATATTCTGCTACCAAGTCATCCTGTATGTCCTCAGATGCCTTCAGGCAGAAGAAAACATCTCAGGACAGTAAAAGCCACCTGTCGCAAAACACCCGAATTAACACGGCTGCCAAATCACACCCCCTTTTTTTAAATGCCTTAAACTGTTCAGTACCCTCAGAGTAAATCTTTTAAGAGGTCTATATTTTTATGTTTGCTTTTTAAATTCTCTCTGGCTGCTACTCCCTGTTAATGCATTTATGCAAGCTGCTGATTGTATTTCGTACCATCGACCCACAAGAGAACACAATA